TAAAAGCAAACTTGCTTATATTCTACAATTTTATTCTACAATTTGATTGAAAACTCTATTTGAGAATATTTAATTTATATGTTTTTACATAAATTTTAATTTCAATAAATTAAATAGATTAAAAATAATTATAGAAATTATAAAAGTATTCTCATTTGTAATCAATATATCACAACGACATTTTCATCGGTAAACTGTGCACGATATTAGATATCTCATACTCTTTCTAACTCTTACAGGTTTGGGGTCAACGTATAGTTCCGAAGTTGTTCAACTCGAACGTAAACCGCTTACGGTATGTGGATGCAGTTAAACGAGTTATTGGTTGTTCAGATATACGTGTAATTTAAACGATGCGGCAGAAAAGAAAATTACTACGCAGCCCCCACGGCTTGATTCGCGTAACGAAGTCGATGTTCGAAACGCGTCGCCGCAAAAATGTCAACGCGACGAGCACTGTATCATTACGTTAAGTATGTTTACAGATTCACGCTTTAACGGACAGTATAATTTATGCCTTGTACTTCATATCCTCGTTGATAAACCAACGATGCGCATGCGCTTTTAAAAATTCATTACATTATTCTTTGATATTTGTTCGATCGATTCAATGTGTTTCGAGAATGAAAAGGAATGAAAAAAAAAAAAAAAAAAAAAAAAAAAATAAGAACTTCAGAAATATTCTGATAGGAATTTAATTATTTTTTAATAGATCTAAAAATCAAATATAATACGTATGTTAATCAAGAATTTTATATTTATATTACAAAATTATTGCAATATTATATATATATTGCAATAAAATATGCAATATGGCATATTTTAATAGTTAAGAGAATAAAATATATTTCTTATATTTATTTGGAAAACTTTTTTTTTGCAAAGAATAATAATAGAAAATTTTGTGATTAAATATATTGTGAATATGACATATAAGCTATACGCATGTGTGACAAATTGTAACTGATTCACACGTTCAGAATTAATCTTTTTTTAATTAGAGAAGAACTATATTTTCCTATTAATAAATTTAATAAACTTCGATTGAAGCTAATTTTATGAAATTAATTGATATTTATTTTTTTTTTTGCCTGATTTTTTTTATCATTTCTTCATTAAATTGATTACTGGAATCTAAATTCGATACGTTATAGTAATTCGATCGTTATCAAAGGTAAGTATTACGCTACGTAATCTAGAAGCAACTGTAATTAATCTCAGACTATACAACCGCATTTCCTCGCTTGAAACATTTTTGTTCAAATTATTTAACCTCGTATATGTATTTTGCAATAGAACGAATTGCAATAGATTCGAACGAAAACTTTTAATTATTTATATGTATATATTATTAAATAATTTATTGAAATACTAATATTTAAAATATAAATTGAGAAAAGAATTATATAATATTCATAGGTAGAATCGAATTTTCAATTCATTGAAATAGCAACATATGACGTGTTCATGGTTCCATCATGCAATAGCTTTGCACGGTAAACTAAAATATACATCCATTAACTTGTTCTGACATCTGGGTCAGAATTAGATGTTTAAGAAATAATTACATTATTTATCTGATTGTTACTATCTATGAATTATTTTCTTTTATTATTTCTCTCAAAATATTTTATTTATAAATACGAACAGTAATACACGAATAAAATTAATATTAATATTTATCAAAATATAAACGAGATGAAAAAGATAATAATAAATACATCATGCAGCATTAATCAATGAAACAATCGAGAAAAATTCGATTCCCGCTTTTTTCACGTGACTCTTTCATTACGTAAATGTGGCAGATTATTCGTTCGAGAATTACAACTAACTTTGGTATTTTCGAGCATTTCCTAACCTTTAAAGGAAAAAAATTGCATGTATGTAAAATCACACAAATAAAAATATCGAATGGCAACATTCTTATATAATAACACTCAATATTGACATCAAGAAATTTTGAATTTTTTTATGTTTTCATGATTGATCAAAAATGTGTGCAATATGAAAAAAGAACGAATTGAAATTAAAAGACTGAAATGGCGACTTACCGGCGGCGCGATGAGGTCTCCTAGCCCAGTCTTCCTCGATTAAGGGAGCAACTCTTCGTGTACGAACAGTCAGAGGACAAGAAATGACGATAAGTAAAATCGATAATAGACTATTGTGGAAATGCATCTTCGGTACTTTTAAAAAAGTTTCGTGATATCTTTGATTCTCTTTCTATCTTTCTTTCTTTCTATCTCTTTCTCTCTTATTTTTTCTGTCACACTCGCGTTCGCGTACGTCCAATTCGCTGTCTCGTCGCTGGCACTCGTACACGAGTGCTTCAACGCATATAGCGCGTTTTTTCTATGCGTTGTCTCTCTTTCACTTATACGTTTTTCTCTCTCGTATTTTCTATTTCTACCTCTTTTTCACTCTGTCTATTCCTTACATTATCTGTCTCATTCTATACACCTCTAAACACGTATGCCCTTTTTCTGTCTAGTCTTTAGAGCCGCAACACTGATCTATTAACGAACATTCACTGCACAAAACTTTCTGCACTCTTTACGACACTGCCTGTTGTCTCACACCATCTCTGATTCTTTTTCCGATCCTGTATCGCGCGACGATACACCGATGATATAAAGAATCGTTCGCGAATAATAACAATAATATATATGTAACGACACAATGACGGATATCGCGGCAACGTTTATGATCACGAAAAAGTCGGTGACAACGCGAGTATGACGATAGTATGCGTACACAGGTCGCGAACGTGTGCGATAATGATTAGAAACAATCAGCAGCGGACCAGAGAGACCGTGTGTTAGCCGCAATATTTACTGCAGATAACGCGACGAGGTATCGTGCACCGTTCGAGACACGTTGAACGAGCGCATCCGACGGCTTAATAGGCTAAGGTATACACGCAGGTTCGTTATTCTTCTTTTTTCTCTTTCTTTCTTTTAACCAGTTCCACACATGCGGAGAGATCTATCTATTTATCCTCTTTTTTCTTTCTTCCTATATATATATATATATATTTAGTGTCTCTCTTTCACTCTTTCTTTCTTTGTCTGCTCGTCTTTTTGCACTATCGTTATTTATTTCTCTTTTTTACCGAGAGAGCACAGAGAGTTTGTACAACTTTAACTCTCTGCCTGTTCCCCGCCGCTCTTCTTTCTCGTTCTCGTCGTCGTCGCGCGTTCCGTGTTACTGCGCGCGCGTTTTATAAGGCGGTACACAACGAGCGACGAGTTTCAAGACGAGAGGGACACGAAACAGGGAGGTAAGCAAGCCGTATAGTGCTTGGCACTTCTCTCTCTCTTCTTTTCTCTGTCACGGTTTTAACCGGCGCACAATTCCACGCACCTCCGCACCTCACTAACTCTCTTAACCTACGAGCCCTGTATACGTTGTCGTGTTCCTCACGATGCAACAACGCCGGTATGCGCATCTGATATGGCTATGATTATTCCGAGACTTTACGGTAACAAAAATGATTTAGAAATGAATAAACGTAATTTATCGATAAAAATTAACGAATGGCGACCATTTTCGATCGTCTCTGACACGGATGAGACTCACTTTGAAAACACACGCTTGCGCTTTTCGCGTTTGACTTGCCGGTTCGTTACAATTGAATGTGATCGTCAACGCCAAATCTTGACCAAGTTCGCGAAGTGTTGCATTGCGCTTGCGCAGTATAGCGATATTTTGTGTCCGTATATATCGATTATAAAAAATCCGACAATAATTGCACGATTTTCAATTAGTGACGTTGACACTAAATCTTTTTTTCACCCATTTATATTTCGCTGTTCACCGGCCTCTTTACACGCGAACCAACAGACCAGCGTGCGTCTGACACGGTCGGCGCGTGACTGCCGTGACTGACTAACCGATCGTGAGTGACTGACTGGTGGGAAGCTGTTACTTGACTTGCTCTCTACGTCCGTGCCGCCACTGAATCCGATGTATCTGATCATCGGCACCACCGTCTCTCTCCTTCGGCTGCCTCGCTCGAAAAAGCTTTTGCTTTCGCGCTTGCGCCACGACGAATTGCTTTTTCGTTTTCGTATACGCGTGTGCAAGAGCGTCGTTGGTCAGTACGTGACAACTTCACGTATTTATATACGTGTTCAGTTACGTGCGCACACTCCGTGTGTTAAGTTACTCAATACATACGAAAGACGAGACAGGACACGGCTTTGCCCGCGGAAGCGTCGCTCTGTCTGGCGCTTGCACTCAGTATTACTAGTTTATCTTTTCTTCTCTTATAATAGTTTTTAACCACGTGCTGTATATCGTAATCATCCGATAGATGTCAAAATTTGATAAAAGATTTAATAAATAATATCAATTTGCGTGAAATGAACAAACGTGGTTATGGCGCATCAAATTCGGCAATGATCGTTTGAGATATCACGTTATCTATGAGCAAACGAAAATGCCAATCTTATCAATTTTTTTTTTTTCTTTCGTTTTCAAAATCAATCGATCACGAGATCATAGTACAATACTTCGAATAACCGGCTCGCACCGTGTCTTTATTCACTATTTTCCTTCCGTTGCTATCTGTGTCGTGAATTCAAGGAACGCGTAAGTACATTTCATATCCTTTAGAGTGCGCTGAATGGCTTCAAGGGTTCACGTGCGTGGGAGATGTCGTGACGGTAAAGGAACTTTTGTTGTTTTTGTGTTGAAAAAATTATTATCCCGATATATCTCGATTATTCGGACGAAACACGACTAGAGCACAGACACGATGCGCCGATGTAGCCAACGATGACAACTGTCCGCCGGCCAGTCGAGTCCGTCGCTTTTATGGGG